AGGGCCAGAGCTGTTAAATCGGCTGCTGGAGCAGATCCACGAGCCCCCTGTGCAGGGGCTGCTCCATCCTCCATGCTCCATCCTCCATTCTCCAGCTCCAGCTGAGCCAGGGCGGCCTCACAGGCTGGAACCCCTGCCCCAGCACCCCCCTCTGCCTTTACAACTTGCTTTTCTTTCTCGTTAGCCTGCTCTGATTTGATTGGGAATTCATTTTTCCCCAGGTCAAGCCTGTTTTCACCCTGCTGGTACATCAGACCTCTCCCTGTCCTTACCTTCACCCTCTGGCTTTCAAACGCAGCCCCCTTCACCACGCCACGGCCGAGCTGCCTCAGCTCTGACAGTGACAGAGATTAGCTGGACTGATAAGTGACCGCTCTGCAGCAACTGCTGTTGACGTTTTTGCACCTCTAAACAGCTTGAAAGAGGAACCTGTAGACTATTTCTTTGGAAGCTGCTGGTAAGAAGGACAGCGGAAGGACGCGTTCTCCCTCCCAAGGAGCTTCCCAAGGCGCCGAGGCTGCTGAAGGGACGCAGTGAGCTTCAGGAGGGCTCTGCAGAGAGCAGAATGCTTCCTGGCAGCTGAGATACCTGCAGATCCCCCAGCTGCTGCCCGGGTGCCTCAGCACGGAGCGCGGACGTCGGAGAATCCCGCAGCGGGCGCGCGGTGCCGAGCATCCCGCGGTGGCCGCCGACGCTCCCGCGTTTCCTCCGCGGCTGCAGAGCTCAGGATGCAGAACAGCAGCCTGGCCCTGAGCAGCCTGGACGGGATTTACATCGGCACCGAGTGCCTGGTGGCCCTGGTCGCCACGCTGGGCAACGTCCTGGTGATCTGGGCGGCGAGGCTGAACGCGGCCCGCCAGAACACCACGCTCTACTTCATCGCGTCGCTGGCGCTGGCCGACGCCGCCGTGGGGCTCCTGGTGATGCCCCTGGCCGTGGTGGTGAGCCTGGGCATGGCCATGCCCGCCTACAGCTGCCTCTTCATGTGCTGCCTGCTGCTGGTGTTCAGCAACGCCTCCATCCTGTCCCTGCTGGCCATCGCCGTCGACAGGTACCTGCGAGTCAAGCTGCCCACCAGGTGAGGCTGCCCCGCCTCCTCTGCCCTCCTTTCCTACCTCTAATTACTTTAATTACTTGAAGTGGATGCTTGTGCCTCAAAGCCCACCTGGGATGAGCTTCCCAGAGGCCTGGGGGTGCTCGTGAACTGGATTTTTTGTTTATTCATGAGCTGGAAAACCAGCTCAGCCTGGTTATCCCTGATCAGAGTGCGATCGCAGGATGCATCTGTTGCATTTTCAGCATCTTCATTAATTGCACAGGATGCTCAGTGTGTTATAGGGGTTTTTTAAAAAGTTTCTGAGGCTTGTGTTTTAAATGAAATTCCTTTTAGCATTTGCTGAAAATATAAAAGTAGCAACAAACTTATTAACAATTAACTCACTGTTAATTGTTAGGTCAGTCGCTGATTACATTTAAATGAAAAGTACACAAGCTAGAAAAGCAAAGCATAACCTCAAGCACCCAAAAAGTCATGGTTTATAGTGGGAAAGGACCTGTGAAGCTGAGGAATGAATTTCAGCCCTACAAATGGCGTAAACCAAATAAAAAGAGGAAGGTACACTCAAGGAAGCCAAGAAATAAGATAGGACTTCCAACAGCAGCAAAGCAATATCCTGGCCAGAGCAGAACTAAGATCATAATGAAACAAGAAATAAAACAGGTTAAACATCCAATTTTAAACAAGGGAACTTAAGCACAGTTCTTACTGATGCTGCAAAGTAACTGTTACAAATGAAGAGGTGGGGCTTGTCCCAAGATAAAATTTGGGTTCCCCACAAAAAAAAAACTTAATGCTTAATTTTCCAACAATGACCCTGCAGCACCTGAACAGGTGAGTTCATCCTTAACTACCTTAAAATGCTTCTCTTTAACTCGATGTGGGATTTCTTCCCCTACAGATATAAAATAATCACTACAGAGAGGAGAGTGTGGCGGGCCCTGGGGCTGTGCTGGTCCCTGTCCCTGCTGGGGGGGCTCGTCCCCATGTTTGGCTGGAACAAGGCAGGCCCCAGGAGCTCCAGCTACCTCAGGTGCAGGTTCATCTCCGTGGTGAGGATGGATTACATGGTGTATTTCTGCTTCTTCACGTGGACCCTCGTGCCCCTGCTCGTCATGTGTGCTCTGTACGCCGAGATCTTCTACATCATCCACACAAGGCTCAGCCAAGGGACCGCTGTCAGGGGGGCTAGGGCTTTCTATGGCCAGGAGTTCAAGGCAGCCAAGTCTCTTGCACTGGTTCTCTTGCTCTTTGCAATCTCCTGGCTGCCTCTGTGCATTATAAACTGCATTTTCTATTTTCACCCCGAGTCTCAGATCCCCCCGTATTTGATTTACTTGGCAATCCTCTTATCCCATGCCAACTCTGCCATGAACCCCATTGTCTATGCCTACAAGATAAAGAAGTTCAAAACCACTTACCTTTTAATTTTAAGGACCTACATCCTGTGCAAAAGCCCAGACCCAGCTCTTACAGAGCAAACAACAGACCCAGAGTCATAAAGAGAGGCTGGGGCAGCCAGAGAGAAGCAGAGCATTGATAAAGCTCCTGGCTTTGCTAGGAAACCCTTGGGAAACTGCAGCAGCCTGTGGGTCTGAGGCTGCCCTAAAGCTCCATGTGAATATAACTCTTTATGCAATATAATTTCTAAACACAGAAGATGGAAACTTTGTCTGGCTGGGGGTTTTGGGTTTTTCTAACATGAAGATTGGTTGAGTTGATTGCAAACCAGGATGTGTTCTTTGCTGTTCATAATCCAGCAGCTCACAAGCTCACTGACCACTCTTGTCTGTCCATTCAGACTAGAGTTGGTCAGCTTGTGCTTCAGCCAGTGTTGTCATGTTTTCGTGAGTAATAATAAATAGTAGATGGATTTTACACTAATTCTGCCTGCTGAGTCCTCCCATGAGCAGAAGAAACTTGCCCAGTTTCAGTCAATGTCCTGCTGGGGTGGCACAGAAGTTCAGTAATTGTTACACCACAGCTGGCACAGCCCCTGTTGAGGGAACACGGCTCAAAATGAAAAGAGGAGAGGTTGTTAAAGGCCAGGCTCTTTTTTTTCCTCCATCTTCAAATAATAAAAGTGGTCTAGGAAAAGCAGAAAGGTAGTGCACCCGAGGGACCCCAGCCAGAGCTCACCTTCTGGTGAGGGAGGGAGATGCTCCCCCTATTTTCTCCTCCATAGAGCTTGAAGGAGCTGCCAGGACAGAGGTGAGACAGAGAGCAGCAGAACAAAGAGCACAGGTTGTTCTGCCGACCCTCTGAAAGTCCGTGGCACCTGCAGCAGTCTCTGGCCAAAGGCAGCACACCAAATTTCAGAGCACAGGAGCGTCTGGTGACACTTTGCTGGGAGGAGCGGGCAGAACAGCCCAGAGGGGCTGGAGGGGACAGAGCCCGCTCGGTGTCGGGGCTGGGGGGGCTGGGGGGCTGCAGGGGCTGGGGGGCTGGAGGGGCCGGAGCCCCGCTCGGTGTCGTGGCTGGAGGGGCTCCAGGGGCTGGAGGGGCTGCAGGAGCTGCAGGGGCTGGGGGGCTGGAGGGGCCGGAGCCCCGCTCGGTGTCGTGGCTGGAGGGGCTCCAGGGGCTGGAGGGGCTGCAGGAGCTGCAGGGGCTGGGGGGCTGGAGGGGCCGGAGCCCCGCTCGGTGTCGTGGCTGGAGGGGCTCCAGGGGCTGGAGGGGCTGCAGGAGCTGCAGGGGCTGGGGGGCTGGAGGGGCCGGAGCCCCGCTCGGTGTCGTGGCTGGAGGGGCTCCAGGGGCTGGAGGGGCTGCAGGAGCTGCAGGGGCTGGGGGGCTGGAGGGGCCGGAGCCCCGCTCGGTGTCGTGGCTGGAGGGGCTCCAGGGGCTGGAGGGGCTGCAGGAGCTGCAGGGGCTGGGGGGCTGGAGGGGCCGGAGCCCCGCTCGGTGTCGTGGCTGGAGGGGCTCCAGGGGCTGGAGGGGCTGCAGGAGCTGCAGGGGCTGGGGGGCTGGAGGGGCCGGAGCCCCGCTCGGTGTCGTGGCTGGAGGGGCTCCAGGGGCTGGAGGGGCTGCAGGAGCTGCAGGGGCTGGGGGGCTGGAGGGGCCGGAGCCCCGCTCGGTGTCGTGGCTGGAGGGGCTCCAGGGGCTGGAGGGGCTGCAGGAGCTGCAGGGGCTGGGGGGCTGGAGGGGCCGGAGCCCCGCTCGGTGTCGTGGCTGGAGGGGCTCCAGGGGCTGGAGGGGCTGCAGGAGCTGCAGGGGCTGGGGGGCTGGAGGGGCCGGAGCCCCGCTCGGTGTCGTGGCTGGAGGGGCTCCAGGGGCTGGAGGGGCTGCAGGAGCTGCAGGGGCTGGGGGGCTGGAGGGGCCGGAGCCCCGCTCGGTGTCGTGGCTGGAGGGGCTCCAGGGGCTGGAGGGGCTGCAGGAGCTGCAGGGGCTGGGGGGCTGGAGGGGCCGGAGCCCCGCTCGGTGTCGTGGCTGGAGGGGCTCCAGGGGCTGGAGGGGCTGCAGGAGCTGCAGGGGCTGGGGGGCTGGAGGGGCCGGAGCCCCGCTCGGTGTCGTGGCTGGAGGGGCTCCAGGGGCTGGGGGGGCTCCAGGGGCTGCAGGCACCGAGCAGCGCAGGGCACCCGGGCAGCCCCAGCCCAGGCTGGTGCTGCCATCAGGTGGCACCTCCAGCCCTGCTCCCGGGGAGCCCCGGGCTGCTGTGACACTGCCACCCCCGGGAAACCACCCCTGCTCACGCACAGGGCACGGTGTCTGTGGGCAATAACACGTGAATGAACATTCCCAGAGATTTTGGTTGTCACGCTGTGATTGTGCATTTCTTTTATGGGACCCAACCAGGAAGCAGAGATTTGCATCCAGACATTTCATGATCATCACTTCAATATCGGAAAATTACTAAGCAGAGCACTTGGCAATCAAAAAAAAAAAAAAAATACTGAAAGTGTTAGAGTTGGTGACAGAAAAGGGAAACACAAGGGCACACACATGGATCGATGCAGAGAAATATTTTCATTTCTCACTTCTCTCTGGTAGTTCTCACAAACGGAAACTTTACAAGGGCAGGGAGATTTCTACAGATGAGGAAATCCTGTACAGAAACTCCATTTGCCCACAGCTGTTGGCAGCCAGTTTGAACAGGAGACAATTTCCTGTCACAGCTACAAAAAGAGCCGTGTAACAGAGGGCATGGGGGCATTCCCAGGTGTAACATCCTTGGTGTAACATCCTCATGGCTTTTGATGCTCAGAAAGTGGGACCATTTTGATTTCATTTGGAACTTCCTCATCACAGATGCAGTGGTGTCCTGCCCCGCTGGAAGACCAGAGTGCTGTAGGTCACTTCATTCTGGGGATTGAGAGCAGCCACAGGCATTAGAGAGTGCACTGCAGGGCAGCAGGAATCCCCCACTTGTAACTCCTCCTCAACAGCACACAGCATGAACAGCCTGTCCCTGCATGGGGAAATGGCTAAAGGCTGGTTCATCCCACTGGCCAGTCTGCCTCAGGGTTCTGGGTAAAGTCTCCTTTAGGGGCTTCCAAAGAATTCTTACCACAGAGGAAAACTGCAGAAATGCTTCCCCTTTAAAGAGATTTCTCCTAACCTGCCCCATCAGTGGTTAAGCCCCAGAACCCCAAAGCTGTCAAAAGAACTGCTGAGTAACAGTTGAGTCTCAAAGGTGGCTTTTCTCCCTCCCACCCCAAATTAATATTTACCACACTGTCAAGGATGTGGAATATCTGCATAAAGCATTAGAAATGACAGCTGTGACATTTACCTGGGTGTTCCTAAGAGATTCCTCAGCTGCCCTCTGGGTGAAAGTTTCCTGTGGTAAATTTTGGTGGGATCTTTTAGAACCTGGGAAGGAAAGGGACCCCAGCCTGAGGTGTTGTCAGACAGCAATGCAAGGGAGGCTGCAGAGGGCTGGCACACGGGTGATGTGCCACCTCTGGCACAGCAAAGTGCCAGTTTGGGCTGCCCAGTCCCTGCCCACCTGTTGGAAGTGGCCAGGATGAATTCAGTGCAGCCAGGATTAGGATGAGAAAAACCCACAAGCAACAAAACCCCCGCACCTCAACAGTGGCAAAGTTAATTTTTTCCTGAAAACACCACTGGGAGGGTTCACAGGGAATTACTGCCAGGGATGAGCTGCTCACCAACACACAGTTATTCAAGGCAGACACTACTTGAGGAACTAAGTAACTTCTGCAGCCACCATCAGTCTGCTGCTGTGCCCTCGACTGTGTCACTCACTTTTCCTGAAGAGGAAGATGATTGCAAAAACCAGGACAGTCAGGAGGATGCCAGAGATGAAGGCCAGTGACACGTACAGTATTTCATGGCTGTTGATACACAGGAAATCCTGTCAGAATCCCCAGTTTCAGCAGAGGGATTGAAGCATCAGTAGTGCTCAAATTCACCAGAGTTCATGGAGTGTAACGTTTATCCCCAGCCCCACGAGACTAAGGTGTGTGTCTGCCCTGAGCATCTCCAGGAACCACCCATCCAGGGCACAGCCCAGGCAATTCCAACCAAACTGTAACCCCCTGAGATGTTAAATATGTTAAATATGTTAAATATGTTAAATATGACATAGAACCCTTCCCTTGCAGAAGGAGGCTGCAGTCTCAGGGAACTCTGGGTTTGAATCAGGAAATAAAGGTGCAGCATTTACTTATTAATCCAGCATCTGGCTTCTGCAGCTCTGAAATCAGCTGTAGGGGTGTGGACAGTGGTAGTGACAGTGGTAGTAGGGCAAATGGGCTCTGGTGCAACTGCAATAGGAAAAAAAAAAAAAATCACAAGCTTGTTTTAAAATGTGCAAATTTCTCCAGTAGTACTGCAAGCAACTAAAACCACATGGGGGGGGCTGTGTCTGAGCAGTGTGTCTGAAAGTGGAACCAGCAGACAGGAAAGTTCTGCTGCTCGGGTGATGGCTGTGCCAGGCAGGCTGGCAACCATGCAGCCCTTCCCCAAGCACCCCCCGAGCAGCCCCTGGGCAGGGCATCACCTCAGCCAGCAGCACTGCAGCTGAGGAATTCCCTTAAAAAATAAAATACCTGGAGCTTCTTTTGAGGAAAAGCCTCCCATTCTCTCAGAGCATTAACTGATGGGAAGAGAGGCTGAAAGAAAGGGAGAGTTATATTTATACACATACACACATAAGCAAAGCAAACTTGTTATCCTCTTCCAACTCTAAAGACTTGATTTAGTTTTTGTCCATTTCTTGGCCATCTTGTAAAAGTGGCACAAAGCTGGCAGCTCCTCAGCAGCAGCCCCTGCCCAGTGTCTTGTTCCCAAACACACGAGCTCACTGCTCCCTGACGGGCACGGGGCCTTCTCCACCCAGAAAACGGAGCATATTCAACAACTAGAAAGCACCTACAGGATTATTTTTGCAGCAGCAAAAAAACCCTGTGAACATTTTCATAACCAGAAGCAGCTTTGAAAAGTTCGTCCCTTGATGGTTTTTTTTAAATTTACTTTTCCCACCAAAACAGGAACGGTAACTTTCTTCTCCAGTTTGTGTTTGGGATCTTAGAGATAGGGATTCTAAAAGATATTGCACTACAAAATCCCTGCACTGGCATTTCTCAGCACATGCTTTGCAAACTGCAGATTGTGAACAGTGTGAGAATATTACAACATGAAAATAAAACACCCTGCTCCCTGCTGCTGCCACGTTTCCTCCTGGGTCCCATTGTTGCCACATTCCAGAGGGGCCAAACCATGAAACCTCCCAGTTTCCCACACCAAACCTCACGGGGTGCTGTGTTTAAAAGAAACGAGAAATGATACAGCTCCATCTTACCTCCCACCATGGAAGGGCTGCTGGAAAACTCCCCGAGTGCCAGCACACCACTTTAACCACTTGCTTTGTGAGAAGAATCTGTCACACCAGCCAAAAGCTCAAATGTCAATCAGATGTGGGCTTACACAATTGTGGAAGTTAAGCAACTTCACTTTTTTATTTAAATTGACAAAAAAACAGGAAACCATGAAAGACACCTGCATTCTCTGGAACTGTTAGTCTGAAAAAAGTGAGGCAGCTTCAGCTTAGGCTGGCTTGAAGTGAGGTTCTTGCCCCTAAAGAACACCACTTTGGTGAACTGAGCTACTGCAAGTGTAAGAAAAGCACGTTTCTCAACTCCACTGAGAAATGGGATTGCAGGCACCCCCAGCGTGCCCACCTGGGTTTCTGGAGTACATAAATCACATCTCAGCACACAGGGGGAGGCGATTTGTGTGTGTGCTTTGCTGGGATTTCTGAGTTTTGACACATTGCTTCAGGGAAAGGCTTCCTATAAAAAGAGAAGGAACGGAGTGATGGAAGTGCAGAAGAACTCCTCTGGAACAAACCTTGTCCCATTGCAGACTGAGCACTGACACAGCCAGCTGAGGACAAGGCTTTCAGGAGCTTCTGACACACTTCCTGCCCCATCTCTTTTCCCAGAACTCAAACTCTCAACACTCCACGAGGCTTCAGGTGAAAGGGGGGTCCCAGCTCCTTTAGAGAACAGGAACATTCACCCAGAGCTGCCCCCAGCCAGGGCCAGGTGAATGGCAGCACAAATCATCCTGATTTTAGAACACAGGTACAGCAGGCATCTGGGGAGCTAGCACTCAGAACTCTACCACAGGGATCAGCTTCAGCAGCAGGATTTTCCTCTGTGAAGTTCTGGGTTTTTGGAAGTGTTCCTGACCAAACAGGATCTCACACACTGTGGTTCCAATCATCCCCCACCATAAACCAGCTGCAGCGGCTGGTGTGACCATCCAGTGACTTCAAACACAAACATGCAGGGACTGTTGCTAGTGAAAGACAGCAGAGGGGTTTTTTTGTCTGTTTAATGGTATTTTAGAGTCATACAGTTTCCAAGAGGAGCTATTGGGACGTGTCAGTGGGCTCAGACTGCTCACACGGCTGCATGGGCACTCTTGGACAGCGCCTTCAGGTCCAGGATGCACTTGGCAATGCTTTCCTTCTGCTGCAAGAGACAGGAAACAGCCTTCAGGAGACATTTCAGCAAGAAAACAGACATTTAAGTGCACTTCATATAAACCTTTTTAGACCTATAAGGTACTGATTAAGAGGGATGTAATTATAGCTCATGAAGCCAGAGATTCACATCCAATAAAGCACAGATTCCTATCCAATAAAGCACAGATTCCTATCCAATAAAGCAGATTCCTATCCAACAAAGCACAGATTCCTGGAATCCCAGAAGGTTTGGGTTGAAAGGGATCTCAAAGCTCATCCAGTCCCACCCCAGGCCAAGGTTTCCCATCACCTCGTGAGCCAGGATCCCTGAACAGCCAATCTTTGTGCAGGCTAAAAAGTAAAGCAGGCAAAACCCAGCAAGTACCTGCTGAGGTGTGATGCTCTGAACAACGTTCCTCTCCACCCACTGGATCATGTGGTCCTGCTCTTTCTGCCGCTTCAGGTTCTGCATGGCCACCTGGTAGTCCAGCCTCTTCTTCACCTCGTTGTACACCGTCAGCAAGCGCTCGCGGTAGTTGGTTTCCAGCAGCATTGCGATGTTGTTCTGCAACAGAGCAGCACGCGAGAGGCTCAAGCCTGGCAGCAGAGCATGCTGTGTGGCAGGAGTGCCAGGAGCCCAGCAGGGCAGGCTGCCTGGCGCTGAGCAGCTGCAGCAGCAGCAGCCCTGCTCACCCTCTTGGCATCGAAGAGGTAACTGCGCCCCTCCGCCCTCCACTGCTCCTTCTTCTCGTCCTCGATGGCCGTCTGCAGCGTCTGGATGGCCTCGTTCTTCATGGCCAGAGCTGTGGCCACCTTCTCCTGCAAGACAGGGAGGACTCCACGCCTCAGAGTCAGATGCAAGGGAAACAAGCGGTGTGCAGCCGAAGCTGAAGTGCTGCACCGAGCTGCGGAAACGCCTGCGCACACTGCCCTGTGCCACGGCTGGGGTTATGCCAACAGGGGGGAATGAGGCTCACAACCAGCCAGGGAGCCCCAGACTGGTCTGGGTTGGAAGGAACCTAAATCCCATCCAACCCCAGCCCTGCCATGGCAGGGACACCTTCACTGTCCCAGCTGCTTCCAGCCCTGCCCAGCCTGGCCTTGGCACTGCCAGGGATCCAGGGGCACCCACAGCTGCTCTGGGCACCCTGTGCCAGGCCTGCCACCTTCCCAGCAACAATTCCTAACTCCCAACATCCCATCCAACCCTGTCCTCTGGCAGTTTATGCCATCTGTACTTCACCAAACCCCTTCCTTACTATCAGCTGCAAAGTCAAGCTGCAGCTTCCTCGTTACCTCGTTCAGCTTGTCAGCAAAAGCTGCCACATCAGGCCCGAACTTCTTGATGGCATAAACGATGACTGTCAGGATGCAGGCAGCTGCTGCTGTCTCGTGGTTGATCACGTAGATCTCCTTGGAGAGGAGGTAGAGCAGGAGGCCAGTGCCCAGCATGTAGGGCCCTACAGGAGACGTGAAGCAGCACTACTCGTATGAAGCACCACGAGCATCAATAAACTGAAATACCTAAGAGGGAGCTTCAAAGGCTCACAAGGTCAGGAAGAAGTGCTCTACTTTACCAGGACAAAAAGCAGATCCACAGTTCCACGTGGGAAAGGTGCCACAAGGAACCTCACCACACGTGGGAGCAGCTTGCACCTGACATGGACCTGCTGCTTCTGCTCATTCAGAAACATTAGGAATTGAAATTTTTTAAGAACCAAGAGGCAACTAAATCTCTCTATAAAATCAAGCTCATGGAATTCTTTCAACCATTAGGTGTCTAACTTTAGAGCCAGGAGTCCTACAGTGGCTCGTTCTTCACAACCTGCACATGCAAAACACTCATTTTCAGCACTATTTTACCTTTTCAGCAGCCAGAACTGGTGAACAGAACCATGTAAGCATACTTAAAAATGGTAAAAGTCTATATTAACCTGTCACTCCTGTTTTAGGGTAGAGAAACTGGAAAAACTCCTCAGGGATCAAACCATGACGAACTTCTCCTCCCTTCTCGGGCAGAGGTGGCACGGGAGCCAAACTCTGCTGAGTTGTGTGCAGGGGTCTTGTGGCGTGCAACACCCTGGGAACGAGGGGAACATCTCAGTTATGATTCTTGTTAAAAATCAGACAGAAACGCTCCCCCAAACCACCCTTAGATGGGGCTCAAGCCCATTTCCAATTATTTTCAGCACTATTTTACCTTTTCAGCAGCCAGAACTGGTGAACAGAACCATGTAAGCATACTTAAAAATGGTAAAAGTCTATATTAACCTGTCACTCCTGTTTTAGGGTAGAGAAACTGGAAAAACTCCTCAGGGATCAAACCATGACGAACTTCTCCTCCCTTCTCGGGCAGAGGTGGCACGGGAGCCAAACTCTGCTGAGTTGTGTGCAGGGGTCTTGTGGCGTGCAACACCCTGGGAACGAGGGGAACATCTCAGTTATGATTCTTGTTAAAAATCAGACAGAAACGCTCCCCCAAACCACCCTCAGATGGGGCTCAAGCCCATTTCCAATAAGCAGTAACTGGTGAGGGGCGGGCAGAGGGTGCCCCATCCCTGGCCGTGTCCAGTGCAACACCCTGGGAACGAGGGGAACATCTCAGTTATGATTCTTGTTAAAAATCAGACAGAAACGCTCCCCCAAACCACCCTTAGATGGGGCTCAAGCCCATTTCCAATAAGCAGTAACTGGTGAGGGGCGGGCAGAGGGTGCCCCATGCCTGGCCGTGTCCAAGGCCAGGCTGGCCCTGCTCCCGTGGAAGGTGTCCTTGTGCACGGCAGGCGGTGGAACCGGATGAGCCTTAAGGCCCTTTCGGCCCCGAACTCGTCGGTGATTCGAAGGTGGTGGCATTTACAGGACACTCCTCCTCCCAGGCAGGGGGTGGGACCAGATAACCTCCACAGGCTCCTTGCCCCCGTCCCTGCTCTGTACTCCCGCGGCATCAATGGGGAAAACGCGACACAAACGCGCAGAACAACGCTGTTTAAGCACCAACCCGGGGCTCCCCGGTACTCACCCCACGGCGACGGGCGGCGGCAGCGCCCTCAGCGCGGCGGGGGCTGAGGGGACAAGAGGGCAGAGAGCGCGTCAGGGCACAGCTCGGCCAGCACCCCCCGCCCGCCACCCGCTCCCCCCGAGCGGCGGCACTGCCCGGGCTCACCGGCGCGCAGGACGAGGCGGGACAGCATGGCAGGACAGAGCAGGGCAGGGCGGGGAGCGGCCGTGAGGAGCGCCGGGGCCCTGAGGAGCCGAGCTCGTCCCGCTCGGTGACCGCCGAGATGGCGGCGCGGCTCTCGCGAGAGCGCGGGGAAGGCGGGCGCGGGGCGGGCGCTCTCGCGAGAGGAGGCGGCGGCGGGAGACACGTGGGGGCGCCGCCGGCCCCGCCGCCGCCGCCGCCATGGAGGACGCCGCCGCCTCAGGCGGCCCCGCCGCCCGCCCCGCCCGATGGCGCGGCGCCCGCCGCCTCGCTGGATGGGGACCCCGCGGCCGAGGCCGCCGCCGAGTGGAACATCCCGCCCAACGCGCCCGCCTGCATGGAGCGGCACCTGGAGCGCGCGCATTACCGCGCAGGTAGCGGCGCGGGCGGCGCGGCGGGTCCGGCACCCGGGGCCGCTCCCCGGGCGCTCCCCGCGCCGCCGCCCGCGCCTCCCCTCGTGTCTCTCCCGCAGACGGGGCCCTGCTGCTGGGCGCCTCCGGGCTGAACGGGCGCTGCTGGACCGGCTCGCTGTGGGTGTTCGCCGAGCCCCGGCGCGCCCCCAGCGAGGGCTTCTGCACCGCCGGCGTGCAGACCGAGGCGGGGGTGGCCGACCTGTGCTGGCTGGCCGACCGGGGCATCCTGGTGGCCTCCGACTCCGGTAAGCCGTGGGGATGCTCCCGTCCTTCGCTGGGCTGCGCCTGTGCCCTGTCCCAGTGCCGAGCTGGGGACCCCCAGACCCTCCCCTAGTCAAAGGTGGGTGGGTGTCCTTGTCCCTGTGCTCGGTGTCCTTGTCACTGGGCTGGGTGTCCCTGTCCCTGAGCTGGGTGTCCCTGTCACTCAGGTGGGTGTCCCTCTGACTGAGCTGGGTGTCCCTCTCACTGGGGTGGGTGTCCCTGTCCCTGAGCTGGGTGTCCCTGTCACTCAGGTGGTTGTCCCTGAGCTGGGTGTCCCTGTCACTCAGGTGGGTGTCCCTGTCCCTGAGCTGGGTGTCCCTGTCACTCAGGTGGGTGTCCCTGTCCCTGAGTTGGGTGTCCCTCTCACTGGGGTGGGTGTCCCTGTCCCTGAGCTGGGTGTCCCTCTCACTGGGGTGGGTGTCCCTGTCCCTGAGCTGGGTGTCCCTCTCACTCAGGTGGGTGTCCCTCACTCAGGTCAGTGTCCCTGTCACTCACGTTGCTGTTCCTGTGTCCCCCAGGTGCCGTGGAGCTGTGGGAGCTGGAGGAGAACGAGAGCCTCATAGTGAACAAGTTCTGTAAATACGAGCACGACGACATCGTGACCTCGGTGTCGGTGCTGGCGGGCAGCAGCCAGGCTGTCAGCGGGGGCAGGGATTGCTGGTGAGTGTGCCCAGCCTGGCAGCCTGTGCCCGGGCTGTGCTGGGCACTCACTGCTCGCTCTTGCCCACAGTGTGAAGGTCTGGGACATCCCGGAGCAAACGGTGCTGCACTCCTACAGAGGTGAGTGCCAAGCCACCCCTCTGTCCCTTTGTAATCCCCTTGGCATCCCACTCTGACCCTGTCCCCAGCCCCTCGAGCTCGGGGCTGTCACAAGGACTGTGCCATGCTTGGACTGGGCAGCTCGTCACTTGGGTAGGAGGCAGCTGAGCAGAAGTTATCCCGTGTCTGGGCAGAGCTGGTAAACTGCTGTGCCTCTGGAGGGCCTTGGGAACGTGTGGGAAAGTTGGATCCAGTCTTTGAGGCTCTTTATCCTTTTGTGCTTTTGGTAGCTCACTCCGATGCAGTGACATGTGTGGCTTCCTGTCCTGGTAAGGACACTGTGTTCCTGTCCTGTGCTGAGGTAAGGCTCACTCTGTTGTCTAAATCTACCCCATTTAAATGAGATTTAACTTTAGGTATTTACAGTTTAATGCACTTAGAAACCACCTCTGTGTTGCAACCTGCCTTCCTGTGTTATTGCAGTGTTCCAGTCTGATAATAAATTAATTCAAATTTATAATCAGTTTGCCAAACTGATTCCGACAGGTTTATATCAAATTTTGGGAGCTCCTAGGTCTGCCCTGGGGATGACTGAAGGCTGCACTTGGTGACAGCATCATTTTAACCCAGAGGAAAACACAGGGACATTTTGCCTGTGAGTCAGCAATGAATCTGAATTTATGCCACAAAGAAATTGTAAAATTCTTCTCATTCCTTTTGGATTTCCAGGACAACAGAACTTTACTCTGGGACACCAGATGCCCCAAACCAGCTACCCGAATTGGTATGTGTCTGTGTGCAGTCACTGCTTCTGCATGAGCTTCTGTTGGAAGAAATAAATTATTTTATGCCTGACTTCTCCCTCCTAATCTAGTGATGTGCCTGTTAAAACCTAAGGAGGTCTAACACTGTCACAGAAGTACAATAAGCTTAAATCACTTGTCTTGCTGCAGTAGCAGTGCTAAGGGAGATGGGTGAGGGATATCTTTGTGCTGCCTCCTTCCACTCTCACCCCAGTTTGTTCCCCTGCAGTTTGCAGTGCCTGTAATTACCTCCCTACCTCAGTCATGTGGCATCCACAGAAAAGTGACATCTTTGTCTTGGGTAAGAACCTGCGCTGCCTCCAGGCCAGCCACGGTGGCTGTTTGCACAGGACAGATTCTAACTGCAGCGCCCCTCTCTCCCAGGTGATGAAAGTGGAACAGTTGCACTGGTGGACACAAAGAATCCTGACTCTGCCCTCAGCGCTGCCGTGCACACCCGAGGCATCACAGGCTTTGCTTTCTCTGCACACAGGTACTGAATGCTCCTGGCACACAGCGTGGCACTGCATCCCCCCAAAAGCCTTTGTTGTACTTGAGTAAAACCTGTGAGACTGCCAGCTTTGGGCTTCTCATCCAGGAGATTGTAGCAGAGAACAGAATAAACCAAGCAGCGTCTCACTGCTGACGTGGGAATGTCCACAATAACAATTCTGCAGCTCCAGGATTACTGAGCCACACACTGTGGGGATTTTTCTAATTAGTCACCTTTGATTAAAGAAGGATCACTTGTTTTCAGACTCTAATTGAGTATTCCCACTCAGTGTACTGGCACCCTGCCAAATGCTGATGAAAACATTCTTGTGAGATTTCTGTGAGTTCATTCGCTGAGCCTGGGTCTGGATCACTAAGAATCCTGCTGTTCACAAGTTTATCCCTAAAAATTCTTGTATTTTCTTTTCTAACTGTGCTCTCATCTCTCTCTAGTTCACCCTTACTGGCTTCCATCAGTGAAGACTGTTCAGTTGCTGTTCTTGACTCAGACCTCTCAGAGGTGTAAGTACAGACAGAATACTCACTGCTGTTGTCTTCTTGAGTTAATTATTAATACACAGCATGGTTTGGGGTGGAGGGGACCTTAAATAAGATCATTCATCCCAGCCCCTGCCACGAGCAGGGCACCTTCCACTGTCCCAGGGTGCTCCAAGCCCCATCCAGCCTGGCCTTGGACACTGCCAGGGCTGGGGCAGGCACAGCTGCTCTGGGCACCCTGGAGGTGAAAATGCTCCTAAATAGAGGAGCATCATCCTCACAGCCAGCAGTTAGGGATTGCACAAGCCCACACAGTCTCTGAGGAGGGCTGATGGAGTGTTGGTGTTTTCCAGGTTCAGAAACCATTCTCATCGGGACTTTGTAAAAGGCTTGTCCTGGTCTCCTTCAGATGATGCCTTGCTCACTACAGTTGGATGGGATCATCAGGTTTTACATCACACTGTCCCTCTACCAGCTGGTGAAGCTTCTGGAATCAACTGTGTAAAAGAATAGTTTTATAAACTCGTGGTCCAAGTTCCTTGCTGGCATCACTTTGATTCTGCTGAAGTCGCAGGTGTGTGAGCTGGAGTGGGGTCTGTTGTCTGCCTCCAAGCTTGTGGCTAAGAAGGTTCCTGTAGTAATTTTGAATTAGGTCTAAGTTAGTTACAAACCAAGCTTTACCCTCTCCTCAGGAGTGGCTTCTCCTGTAATAAAAGACTTTGGTTTTACTCAGAAAAAAAATTGACTTCAGGCACAGAGGAGACTTGGAGAGACAGGGAATTAGGTGTAATGAAAAAAGAAATAAAGTCAAAAAGACTTGATTCTTTCCTCAGTTCTCCAGACTACCCATGGAATTCATAGAAGTTTCTGGGTGAGGTTAGCAGCACACCTCTTGTTGGGTAGATGTGAGAGCCTCACCTTGAGCCCAGTTCTTTGCTCTGGAAATCAGGTGGAATGAAAAGACCCGTTGGGATGCAGGGGCTGGAAGGGTTCCAGGGTTGTCCTTAATGCAGCACGTGGCTGGTGGAGAGGATCCAGCCTCAGCACCAGTGTGGAGCCCCCGGGGAGCACTGCTTGTGCACTGGTGTAGGACAGCAGTGTGTGCTGTCAGGATGTGAGGGAGGATCCCAGCTGGAGCCCTGCAGTTCAACACCTCTGGGTGGTGCTGGAATGCTGGTGCCAAGGCCAGCTCAGGGAGAGGTGCTGTGCTCTTGGACACCCTGGTTCATCTCCTCTGTGCTGAAGGCAACTCCAGGATGAGACCTGTGAACAAAAGGTTTATGTGGGGGAAAACTGGACTAAGGACTTCAGCTGTCATTTGCTTGCTGCTGTACCAGGCTGTGCTTAGTGATAACCCAGATCCGTGCACTTGTGACAAGTGACTTCCTGTGCTGGCACTGAGGGGACAGGACACTGCCCTACCCCCAGGCCGGGCTGCACAGAACCCACAAGGTGTTTTTGTCAAATAGCACATCCATTTCTAACTCAGCTCTTTACCTGGAGAAAGTCACTGCTCTGCATGCATTGCTGCTGCCCTAGGTATGGCTTGGTCTGGCCTAGTGATTCCTAGACAGAATTAAGCAAGTCCTGACTGATGAAACAAAAATGCAGTTGAAATGAATGTTACCCCTGGTTATTTAGCATGATAGCAGCATTTAAATGTACACTGCTTCCAGTTTTTACCTCTGCATACACATAGGTTTAGTTGTGCAAAGCCCACAATTAATTTTTAGGCAGACTAAGCTTTCCCAGGCTCTGTACTTCTCTCATACTCTTTGTAAACCTCACTTGCTGCTTTTTAAATTCCCGTGTCATACAGGTGTTCACAGGAGCTTCCTGTTCTAGAGCAGTGTATGACAAGAAACAGTGAATGATGATAAAAACTGACACATTTCCTCAGAAATACCCCTTGAACCACAAAGTCCCCTCTTGGGGACCCTGTGATGCTGTACTGAAACAGGTCTTGGTGCTGGTTCTGAAAAAGTTGTCTTGGAAGATGGTTTTCATTTGTAACTGGGTTTAAGTTTCACTGGGCCACTTCTGTAGCACTGAAGAGCCAGCTGAGATCATCCACACAGTTCAAATTGTGATTTCAGTCCCTGATATTAAAACTGTTCTTAAATAAATGCTCACGTATTCCTGTTCACTGCCAGGCTACTACAATTCTTCAGCACTGGTGCAAGGCAGGCTCTGGCTCCTGCTGCTGTTCAGGAAGCTGTTCTTGCCAGAACTCTGAACTTGGGGTTCCATCATGCACAGCTAAAAATAAAAGTTCAAATGTCAGACATTAAACCACACTAGGTTGCTCACATTGCCACACCTGAGCAAAACAGAACAGTCCCTGGCAGAAGACTCGTGCTGGGTGCTGAAGCCAGCAGGGAGAGCATATAACTCTTGATATATTAACTCTTTTACAACTGAAGGCCAGACCAGCCTCAGTGCTTCAGCATCTGGCAGTGTTTGTGGTGCCACAGGATGGCAGCAGCAGCCCTTGACAAGGGCGAGGCAGCGCAGCCCCAGCTGCACATGGCCTGGAGGAGGGTCTGCTTTTGGGGTGTCCAGCACTTCACTCGGGGTTTTCACTCTCACAAGCACAGAGGAGAACTTCAGCAGGCACTGCTGGGGTGCAGCTGGGCTCAGACTTGCACCAGTGCTGCAGGGAAGTTGGGGACAGCAGCAATGCCACCTCAGTCCTGGCTGGCTCTGCAGCTCCCCAGGGAGCAGAGGCAGTGCTGGGGGGTTTGTGGGGTTTGTGGCTTGCTCAGCTCTGCCTGCTCCACACACCCTTCAGCTTTGGGGACACTTGGGGACATCCCCTGTGGCTCCAGTGAAAGCTTCAGGTCACACATTGCAGCCCTTCCCTCCCTCACAGAGCCTGCTTCTGCAGCCAGAGCTGGCTGAAGGAGATGAGAATGCAAATGTGTTTAATTGGGAGTGCAGAGGAGATGAGAATGCAAATGTGTTTAATTGGGAGTGCAGAGGAGCAGCCACGCTGCAGCCAAGCCTTTCATGCTGCCTGCATGGCTCACACTGTGCTTGCAGCTTGGGCACAGCACTCAAGCTGGGACTTGTCAGAGGAATGAGAGTTTCATCCCTGGTGAGCTGCTCCAGCCCAAGGACTATTTATAGGAGCTGCTGCTGTGCCAGCCTGCCCAAGCAGCTGGGTGTGAGTGCCACAGCTCCTGGGGCTCAGCTGCCCTTCATGCCCTGACTGCGCTGCTGGAAACACTGAAATGGCCACGGGCTTGGATTAGCCCTCAGAGAAACTGGAGCAAGCCCTGAAGCTGAAATTCAAACCCTTGCTGAGCCACCTTGTCCCATCCTTTCAGGGATGTGCCAGCAGACAGACATGTAAGCAACACCAAAAAAAGTCAGACCACACATGTAATCAAACATCAGAAATGTTTAATGCGAGAAGGTTGGTGTTCAATGGCACTCATAAATAAGAGACTTTGTTCAATACTTTACAGCTAAAGCTCTGTTCCACTCCCCTAGCAGGAACTTGTGAGGAAGAGGCAGCCACAGGGGATAATTCCAGTTGTATCACAACTGGAATTACCACCCTGCATCAGAGGGTGATGTGAGAATAATTCCACACTCAGGCCTCAGGATTGCTCTCAGCACTGGGCTGAGGCAGGTGCTTTGCTCCTTTCATACCCCTTAGTTTTGTTTCTTACTCTTGCTAAATTTCTGTAGTGAAAGCTGGGAGGAGCAGGAGTGTGGGGAGTTTGTGCACACAGCTGGCAGTCACCTGTCCCAGGAAGGGGCTGGTCCCACCCCTGCAGTCCTCACCCCTGAGAGATCTGAGTGTCCCCAAGTGCTGTGGCTGCCAACAGCTCTGACAGTGGTTCCTTTGTCACAAGGGCCCCAGAATCAATGGGGAGTTGTTCCTGAAATACCAGGATTTGCTGAATGCATTCAGAAGAAGCAGGGATAGCCCAAAGTGTTTGAAGAACAGAAGAGCCCCACTGCTGAAAACCTGCATGCTAACCAGTCCTGCAGCTGGGAGCAGAGTCCAGCCTGGTTCAGCGACAGCCCAGTCCCCTGTGCAGCCCCTGAAGGGGGCTCTTCAGTGAAGAGTGGCTGCTCTATAAACCTGACTCCTAACACTAAATTAAAGCAATTATGTCTGCTAGAAATGAGACACTCCATGGTGTCTAAGACCATATTTCACCCACACGTGAACGGTGTGTCTGGGTGAAGTAGTAAATGTGACATTTAAAGTAGGTATTGACATTGGAGTGTCACATTTTTCTCTAAAAATTAAAAAAAAAAAAACAACTTGTGTTGGGGAGATTGCAATTTGGAAGAATTCTTGAGGTGGAACACTGCACACACACACCCCTGCCCTCCTCACTTCTGGGCAAAGTCAGTACCAAAAGCTGAAATTGCCCACCCAGCCTTAAAATTGTTTCTGAGAGCTCATTTGCAAATATAGCTTATTATTTTGAAAAAGAAAATATCAGGAAGAAAAAACCATTAAGTTGCAACATTATCAAAGAGACTTCTTTGTTTGCTTTCAAGTCAAACTGGTGAAACTTCATCCAATACCAAAACATGACCCTGACGTGCTCAAGGAGGAGCATGGATTTACTTCTACAGGTGAATAAGAATGCTCAGGATGCTCCTTGCATTGAGGAAATGGCATGTTTTGGGGCAGGTGGTATTCCACATGACACTTGGCACACTTCAATGTCCTTATACTTACTCCACAGTCACTTTTCTCCATAAATATTTTTTTAAAACCAACACCCAGATATTAAAATCCTATTATTTCAATATTGGCTGGGGTGAGCAATGGAAATCTTCTAAGTCACTGTGACTTGCTGGCATAAAAATGCCCTTTGAATTAGCTATTAGACTGATTATTGTATTTGCATTTTCATTTTATTCACAGCAAAGTGAAGTTCAGAATACTTTAAAGCTGCTGCAATATCTGAAAGGGCTGTTAAATTATTAGGTAAAGCTGGAAATAACACAAAACATAGATTGTCAATGACATGAATATCAAGATAACTTTTAAGAATTCCACTGTGAAGGAAAATTTATCCCTGATTTTGAGCTGAATTGTAAAGCAAGATGTGCTTGCAGGCCACATCCAGGTGTGTGCCAGGCAGGGCGAGCTGGAGTGGAGCCAGTGGTGTTTTTAGCATTAAAAATAGAAAGTGCTTTCCATAAAAACAGACTCATGTCTCAAAGTGCTTTTAGTTTATCAGTGATAAGAAAAAAAATTCTCTACAAGTTTTTACAGTTAAATTACAGTGATTTTCAGCAGGTTCACCCAGGAGGAAGAGTCTCTGTTTCTAGTTTCAGCAAGTTGGCTATTCCCAACCCAGGTCAGCTGTGACGAGAGCCCACTGCTCCCTCTGGAAGCTGGAATCTCTTTAAGGCTGCCAGCCCTGCACAGGCACCTGCAGCTGCTCCGAGGCTCGGGGGGAAGCAGGGGCAGGGCTGCACCTGGGAAAGCACGGAGGGAAACAGCAGGAGCCAGCTCCCTGCAGGTGTCCCTGCCAACAGCCCACAGGACAAACACAGCCACACTGAAACGCAGCTTCTCGGTGCCCAGATAGGCACGTGGAAGCCAGGTCTCAGTGGGACAGGTGATAAGGACACTTTGGGGTCACAGGGGTGTGACATGGCAAGAGAGCCCTCGGGGAGAGCACCAGCAGCACAGCACCTGGGCGAGTCACTGGCACCCACCAGCCCAAGGAACAGGACTGCTCCGTGTCCTGCATCTCCAAAGTGCTCTACAGCCATCCAGCCAGGCCTCACAGCCTCCTTCCACGAGGAATAATTACCAACAGAAACATTTACAGTGACCAAAAGGCACAGCAAAGCAAGGCCCTGCTCCCGAAGCTGCTCCTGGAGAAGGGGTCAGAGCCCGGCTCAGCAGGACAGGCTCTGACTGCTCCAGCTGGGTTTAAGGCACAATTGATTTGCTCCAAACTCTTAAGGACATCAAGGCATCCTAAACTCTCCTCCTATCCCACTGGCCTCACATTCTTATTTCAATCCCTGACATTTAGCTATGCACTGCTTTGCTTCCATTGTGCACATCTCTCAGTTGGTGTCTCCCTGCTCCCAAACATGCTGGAGTTAAACCAATCAAAAAACAAACCAAAATCAATCTTTCCAGTGGTGATGATCTTTAAAGAGAGCTGAGGATGCTCTTTGGCTTTCCTATCAGGCTGCAATTCTGAAAATACCCCAGGAGGGAAAACGGGGAAAAGGGAAACCACGTTTGCTCACGTAACAAGGCAGCGGGCTGCCCTCCGCAGTAACTTCTCTCCATGGCAGTCTTTTGAGAAAAGTCCAGTCTCAGGCTCATTCCCCAGCTTCTCCGTCAGCAGTCTCAAGCAAGTGCATTTTCAGGCTGGGTTGGGGCCGTCCCTGGTGCCCGTGGAGAAGGAAAGGTCCAACCCAGGCACCTCCTGGCCCCTTCCCAGCCTACCGGTGGCTCTGGTAGGCGTAGGAGATGGGCTGGCGGGTCCCGGGCCGGACCGTGAAGGTGTTGGAGGGTCCGCCGTAGTGCGAGGTGCCGTGGGCAGGCCTGGAGGGAGAACAGAGGGGCAGTCACCCAAAGCAAGGCCAGCCACAGCCTGATATGTGTTTCATCGCTTCGTGTCTGCCCTCAGTGAGGTGAGGAGGGGAGGGACATGGGCAGGGGGTCACGGCTGGCACCGGGAGGAGCCATGAACGGTCACTGCCCTTGGAGCAGGGCAGCAGCAGGAGCTGGGAGCGAGCACGAGCCAAGGGGCCCCAGTGCAGCTCTGGGACCAGTTCCGAGGGACACCGAGGACAGGCAGGGGTGGGCTCAGGGGGGGCACGTACCTGCTGGCCGTCAGCACGCCGGCGGGCGAGAAGTCCCCGTTCTGCCCCTTGTACTTGGCCTCAGCCGCGGTGCCGCCGAACGCTGCGGCTTTCCCAGCAGCGTCCGTGGACGCCCGCCTGGCCTGGGCGCTCGAGGGGCCGTTCCTGTGGCCAGGGCCCGGGCGGCGAGACCCCTCCCCGGCCGTGGAGCCGAACCCCCCGGGGCCGTAGGAGGAGAGGGTGGAGGAGAGGGTGCCCGAGGCCCGGGGGGCTGCGGCCGCCCGGGGGTAGGAGCTGTCAGGCTCCGACATGTACAGGCGCTTCTTGATCAGCGGGCGCGGGTTGGGGCCGTGGCTGGGGAAGCCGGAGGAGCCGCTGTACTCCGGGTACTGCGGCGTGAAGTCGCCGTTCCTCCAGCTCTTCTCCAAGGGCAGCGGAGCTGCCGGCTCCTGCTTGCCCCCGTAGCTGCGGCTGTAGCCAGCCCACCTGAAATAGCGCGGCTCTCCCGAGCCCCGGCTGCCCTCGGGGGCGCTGGGGCACTTGCGGCTCTCCTCCCGACTCGGGAGGGGACCCTCGTCCGCCTCGTTGCTGAATTCGGGGGGTGGGGGGATAATGCCGAAGTCCAGCGCCGTGTCCCCGTTCTCCTCCTCCCTGGGCGCTCCGGGCCGGGCCGGGCCGGGCTGGCTCGGCTGCCCCGAGTCCAGCAGGCCCCGCAGCAGGCTGGAGGCAGCGGCTCGCCGGGGCCCGGGGGGCTGCGCCTCGCCCGCCGCCCGCGCGTCCCGGCCCTGCTCCGAGGAGCTGGAGAAGGAGGGGGGTTTGCTCCAGCCCGACCCCACCGGGCTGGCCGCAGACGGCCGAGGCACCACGGTGAAGGAGTAGGGCTTGGACTCGTGGCGGAAGAAGCTGGTGGAGGTGGTGTCCGACGAGGCGCTGCTGAGCCGCAGGGCTGGCCTGGCCCTCAGCGCGGCCGCGCCGTCCCCGGCCTGGCGGCCCCGCTGGGCACGCTGCCGGGCGGCCAGCAGCAGAGCCATGGGCGAGCCGCGCTCCACGCGCTCCCCCGTCACCGGGTGGATCAGCACCTCCTCCTGCCCCGCTCCCGAGGGGTCCGGGGGGCTCCTGCCCGAGCTCCCGGGGCAGGGGGGCTCAGCGGAGCCCGGGGCACGGGGTGGCTCGGCCGAGCTGGCCCCGGCCCCGTGCACTTTGTACTGGAAGATGGCCGAGCTGGGCTGTGGTGCCGGGCTCTGTGCAGGGGACACGGCGGCTGAGGGGGGGCTGGGAGCGGGGGGCTCCTCTGCCGGTCCCTGGGGTGGGACTGGGGGATTCACGCTGCTGTTGAGGGACCCAGGAGCAGGGCTCACGTCCTCTGTGACCTTGCCAGCAGCAGGAGCAGGATGGTCCTCGTGATCTGTCTCATCCTTCACAGCAGCCGCCGGGGCTGGGAGCGGGCTGGGGACCGGCTTTGGCACCACTGAGTCCCTCGTGTCAGGGGGGCTCTTCCTCAGCTCAGGGGGGCTCTTCCTCACCTGTGGGGTGCTGATGCCATTCTCCACACCCTGCTTCTGGCTGCTGAGCCCCGGGGCAGGTTTCCCCTCTTTCTTCAGGGACAGCACAGCTTCCAGCTCGTTCCTGATGGTCATCACACTGCGGGGCTGCGTGTCAGGGTTGCTGTCTGGGGTGGTGACTGCAGTGCTGGGAGAGCTCCCACTGGTGCTGGGGGGGCTGCTGGGCGCCTCTTTCTTCTCACTCTCCCCCCCCTTGGATAACCCCGTGTCCTTCCTGGCCAGCTGGGGCTCGCTGAGCCCTGGCTCACGGCTGCCAGCACGGCTGGGAGCGCCGTCCACGGGCTGGGGAGCACCCGGCTTCTCCAGCGGCCTCTCCTCCCGGCGCGGGGAGCGCAGCAGGGCCGAGAGCTCGTCCCGCAGCTTGTTCAGGTTGTTGGCATCCTTCCAGTCATCCTCGCAGGTCGGGTAGTCCGGAGGAGGGAGATCCAGGTCGTTGGCAGTGAGAGGTTCAGATTTTGGAGGGGAGTCTCTCCCGGCTGCTTTCAGCTGGGGAATCTTCTCCCCCTCGGAGCCCGGCAGAGGGGACCGGCGGCCGGCGGGATTCGCGCCTTGGCTGAGCCCTGGGCCCGGCTTGGGGCTCAGCGGAGGGGGCACAGCCGGCTTCCCACCGCCCTGCCTGAGCCCGGAACTCCTCTGCTCGCCTTCCCCCGGCCGCGCCCTGCCCGCGGGCCTGATGGTGAAGCAGGGCGGCAGGGGCGGCCGGGCGTGAGGCTGCCTGGGCACGGGCTCCTGCCCGCGCTGGCCCTCCTGCACCGGGATGGACGAGGAGCGCGCCGGGGCCGGCGGCGGCACCTTGAACGACCTGGGGAAGGTCAGGTGGGGCTCGGGCTTGGGCTGCGGGCTCTCCTTGGGGCTGGGGGCTGCGGGCGCCCCGGCCTCGGCAGCGCAGAGCGGCCCCTCGGCATCCGCCTGCCTCGTGTTCAGCACGGTCTCGGATTTCCACTTGGACATGCCGAAGGGCGCGGGGTCCCGGGCGCCCGGCGGGGCCGGCGGGATGAAGTCTGGAGGAGCCGGAGTGCTGGGGGAGGGCAGGGCAGAGGCGGGAGGCGGCGGGGCTGCCACGCCAGGAGGCGGTGGCACCATCTCGGGTGGCAGTGGCGGCGGCGGTGGCAGCATTTCGGGGGGCGGCGGGACCGGCGAGGCCGGAGGGGGTGACACAGGCGCTGGAGGCGGTGGTGGGGGTACCGATGGCGGCGGGGGGATCTCTTCATCCAGGGCATCCCCATCGAGGGCCTGCGGGCGCAGGTCCCCCACCGAGCTGTACATGCGATAATTGCCATTGAGCTGGGAGCCAGGGCCTGCAGGAGCAGCGAGACACAGCGTGTGAGCACCTCTCCTCCAGGGCTGAGCCAGCCCCTTGCCAGGCTTGTCTAAAACTTCCTGAACTGCAACAGCCACTCTGCCTCACCCCTTAGGAATTAATTAATTTTCAATGACTTCAAAAAATAATTAATAGCAGACTCTATTTTAGCATGAAAATATATGAGCAGACTGTCTGCTCCAGAGCTGGGCACGCACACACTTCCTGCCCTGAGGGCTCGGTGAGCACTCTGTGCTGGCCAGGGCTCCACAGAGAACATCCCTTACCAAGAGCTGCCTTCTCCACAAAGTCTTCTGGCACCGACGGCGTTGGCACAGCCACCCCGTGGGATTCTTGAGCGTTCTGCAGGAGTTGAGAAAACAGAGCTGTCAGTCTTGCAGCCAGGGATCAGAGCAAAGGGCTGACAAGCAGCTGGTAATTTGTCCACACAAGCCCTGATGGGATCCAGGGCAGGTCCCTGATATGGAGGTCCCTGTGGAAGCTGCTGCTGACAGGGTTTGAGGGGATGAGCCAAGCCATCAAGGCTGCACAGCCATGGACACAATTCCCCCGTGGTCAGGGGGGGAGGGCTGGAGAGGAATTCAGCTATTTCACACCCCCCTCGAGGAATTCAGCCATTTCACATCCTCCTGCGGCTGCCCAGCAGCAGCACAGCCCCTCACCTCTGATGTGCCAGTGCACTGAGCAGCTCCCCTGGGTTCAGGGGCACTTTGGTGGGCATTTCTCTGCAGCAAGCACTGCCACAGTCCCGTACACACAGACAGACCTCCAGCTTTGGGGAAACTGGCACCAGCACACCTGAGCACACCGGGGAAAACTGCTCCTTGTGTGGTTTGTGTTTCGCTCGCAGTTCCTCCCTTCACGCTCACGCCGAGAACTTGGCAGTGCCTTTGGCTGGTGCAGGAGCAGCAATTTGGCAGCCTGCACAGCTGGGAGGGCGCCTGCAGCCAGGGCATCGCAGCCACCCAGCGTGAGCCATCGGGCAGGTGACTCACCTGCAGCCCGTGTGCCAGCGGCACAGAGCCTCTCCCGTCCCTGACTCACTCGCGGTGGCTCCGAGGGGCTGGGCTGGCTCTGGGACACACCTGGGCACCCGTGCGCAGGGCACAGCCGGGGTGTCTCACACCGGGGGATGCTCCGAGGGAGCATCCAGCGAGGGACACGGCACTGGCAGTGTCAGGGACAGTGCTCAGTGCTCAGGGACACACTGTGCCATTGCCAGGCCCCGCATCCTCCCCGCCGCGTTCCTGCTCACCCCCGGAGCTGGGAGCTGTTTGCGCTGCTAACAGCCCTTGACAAAGGAAATGTTATCCTGCCATCAGCCTGCGCCTCTCCCCAGCCATTTCCTGCACACAAAAGCCTGGATAATGACTGAGCCCCTGCCCTTTGCCTTTCTCTGCCGTTATCACCGCTTTTACATCACATTGCTACGGGATTCCAAAGTCTCCTGGATCGAAGGTCAGTTGGATTTGTCCGTCCAGCCCCATCCAGGCTCAGACAGCACAGTTACACACTGCCCTGCCCGGGGAGCTCAGGAGCTGCTGGGGCACAGCTGATAAAACAGCAGCACCTGGGCTCCTGTGGAAGAGCCCTGGAACGCGCCAGATTTAGCCAAAATAATAGGAAAATGCACATATTTCACTTGCTACATCCATCACCCTGCAGGTGACCTAAGATCCCCTATAACCACAAGGGAATGAGGCAGTCACAGGTGAGCCAGGAGTGAGGGAATTCCTGGGATTGCACAAAGGAGCAGACAGCTCCGTGCTGATGGACAAGCCAAGGGCTGCAAAGGCATGAGGGCAGATCCCGAACTTCACCTGAGAGCCAGAGGGAAGACAAAGGCCAAGAGAGGCACTTCAAGAGCTGATAGTTAAATTGTCCAGAGCAATTCGTTAAATCCAGAGCTGACAGTTAAATTGTCCAGAGCAATGAGATACCAAAAACACAGAGAAAGCCCTGGCAGTTCCCATTTGCAATGGAAATCCATTGCTGCAGGTTGGCAGAGCACCCCGAGGGAAACAAAGCTGTCTGAGCTCTGCACCACCTGCTTGGAGGAGGGCAAAGGGACTGCCAGCCACAAGAGAGCCCTGCGGAGCTGGAGGACACAGCCTGCACTTCGTAAAGGAGCAGTAATTTTGGACGTGTCATTTCAAACTGGGCAAGCCTGTTCCTCACCAAAACCTTCTGGGGCAGCTGCTGAAGCTCAGCATCTCAAAAACCACCCATCCCCGCGTCATGAGCTGGCTTCTGAAGTGGAAAGCATCCCCAGCACGCTGCCAGTCTGCAGAGATGGTTGGGAAGATTGTTCCCGGTGCTTGCTCGGGGTGTGGCCAGCCCAGAAAACCTCCAGCTGATTCAGGGCAGGCTCTGGGAGCTGTGCCAGGAACCTGCATTTCCAGTTTGTGGCACCTGAATCAGAGTGGTGCCTGCTGAGGATCCCGTGGGGGGAAGCTTTCACTGTAACCACCAGGAATCACTTTTCATCCCTGGAACAGAGTCAGACATCCCCAGAGAAGGGACGTGCCTGTCCCCATGGTCCCCAGCTCTCAGGAGCCCACCCACCCATCCAATGACCAAGGTTTGAGGCTGCCCCTTACAAAAGCCCCCCAAAATACAACTGCAGAGCACCCTGGGGTCTCAGAGAGACCAAGAATTTCCCTGAACACGAGGAGCTGCCCCCAAACTCCTGGTTTGTGAGCCAGGGCAGTGTGGAGTTTGCTGAAGGAACTCATTCCCCGGGATACCCGCAGTGCTGGGGCAGCCAGGTGGGCAGGGGGAGCGGGGGGTCCCCTCTCCTGCTGGGATGGATTCCTGAGGCACAGCCAGGGCTGGGGAAGGAAGCTGCTGCTGCGGGAAGAGCTGCCAGGTGCAGAGGCACAGGAGCCGCAGGGCAGGGCGTGCGCATCCTCCTGACTCACCGGGAGCTGCTCGGTGGGTGGGGAAAGGGTTAAGGCAGGAGCTGCAGAGCAGCCCCGTGCAGGCGTGGACCTGAGGCAGGTATGTGCGAGGCAGCAGAGGAGTCTGTGCCAGAGCAAATCATGGTCAAACCTCACCGAGAGCGCGCAAACATCCAACACACACCGGTCCTTCACAACGCCGCCTGTTCCTACTGATTCCTGCAGTCGGAGCTGGGACTGGCAGGGGCAGCAAACCCGGGTTTGTGGGGGACCCAGAAGGGAAAAAGCCCCAGGGCCAGCTGTGCCTGTGTGGGCAGCAGCAGCAGGGCTGGGGTGACAGCCCTGAGGATTGTCCTGGGGGCTGTTAACCCCCCTGCCACTCACTTCCATCAGCAGAGATCTCCTCCTTTCCAAGACCCAAGGATTGAAGGATTGAAGGATTGAAGCACTTTACTGCCTTCACTGCCCTGTGCTATCACTTCAGTTTAGCTACTGACACTCCAGAGCCTCTCTGAGCCCCTGCTCCAGTGCAAGGCGTGGAACAGGAGGAGCTTCAGGGTCCCCTCAGCCTGGGAGTCTGTGAGTGCTGTGCCCCTCTGTGCTCCCCAGGGATGAGACACAAAGCCAGCCACAAGCCAGCCTGGCTGCTGGAGCTACAGCCACCCCCAGGCCCCCTGCTCTGCCTGTTTTGGCCCTGCTGCTGCAGGGAATGGTTTTTCATACAGAGATTGAGCAGAATCACCCCCTGCACAGCCACAGCATCACCTCCTCCTCTGCTGCAGCAGCACTCAGTGCAGCACTGCTGGCAACACAGGGACAGATCCTGCCAGCACCAGGGGGACAAACTGCAGGGCAAGGCTGATCCATCATCCCCGTGCTCAGCAATTAGTTTTTAATTGAAAATGCAGTCTGACGGTGCCCACACCTCTCCCCCAGTGCCCTGTCCGTGCCCCAGAGCAGCCTGAGCTCAGAGCACCCCCAACCCCTCATAGCCAGCCTCCTTACAGAGAGCTTCTGCTTTCACTGCTGCTCTCCCTGGCTAGGGGCTGAGGGCACCAGGGAGCTGGGCACCAGGGAGCCCAGCTGGTTTTGGGCACCAATTCCAGCCCAGCTGGCTCTGGGCACCAATTCCAGCTGGTTCTGGGCACTAGGGAGCCCCTCTGGCTCTGGGCACTAATTCCAGCCCAGCTGGTTCTGGGCACCAGGGAGCCCAGCAGGCTCTGGGCACCCATTCCAGCCCAGCTGGTTCTGGGCACCAATTCCAGCTGGTTCTGGGCACCAATTCCAGCCCAGCTGGTTCTGGGCACCAATTCCAGCTGGCTCTGGGCACCAATTGCAGCCCAGCAGTGGCTGGGGCACTCACCAGGGGCAGGAAGGTGAGCAGCGGCCGGACCCTGGGCCGGGGTTTGAGCGTGGCTGTGCCGGGGTCTGTCACTGTCCCGAAGCGATTGTCACCGTAGTAGACCTCGATCACGTCACCTGGGGGGAGAGCACACTGTTAGCAGCAGCACCGAGCCTGGGCACCGCTGAGAACAGCACAGACACCCCGGGAGCCCAGAGGGAGCTGTGCAGAATCTGCTGCAGCTGCTCCCAGCAGTGGGCAAAGCCCATCAGACCCCGAGGAAAAGCTGGGTGTGCTGGAGGGGAGTGGGAGACAGGAGAGGAAGGTGCCTGTGTGCAGGGCAGGCACTCACAGCCCTGTCCCACCCCTCAGAGAGCCTTCCCTGAGCTCTGCAGGACGAACTGAGGGGGCAGGAGGCAATTCTGGCTGGGCTGAGCAGCTGGAATTGAGGGGGAGGCAGCAGCAGAGCTGAGGAGGAGGAGGGACAGCTCCTGCCCTGCGCAGAGCTCTGTGGGCACAGCACTGACATCGCAGCCAGAGGGAATTCCAGCGCTCCCCAGCCCTCCAGCCTGCTCTAGGGAATAGTGCCCTGCGTGGGGGAGGCAGCAGGGCAGGATGTCACAGGGCCCTGCTGTGACAAGCAGCAGAAGCCTCAGGAATTCCTGGTTCCCAGCCCTGTGCTTTCACCTTGAACCACACCTCTCGGGCCGGTTTATTTCTGACAGTGAATAAAGCTCGTAAAATTAATTTAATTACGTTCTTTGTGTCTGATTAGCAGCATGAATTAACAAGCAGAAATACTGAAGCATGTAAACCCCACCTTGGCTGGAAGGAGATACACAAATAACTCGTAGCCAAGGAGACCGACATTAAAGAAAATCTGAGTTTGAGGAAGGAGGGGGAAGCAACAAAATGGCTCTGATTGAAGGGAAAGCTGCAGGAGTGATCCCAGCAACAGACTTTGATAGTGAGGAAGGGAGAGAAGGAGAAGGATGGGCAGAAATCAGGAGGAAGCTCCCAGGGAAGCAGCTTTACACCAAGTCTAGGGAAAAAGAGGAGGGCAAATGCCTCTGAGTGTGTCCCACAGAAGGAAAGAGCTGGCATGAACACCTGGAGTGGAGAACCCGACCACACCAGGGCTGGGCACGAGGCAGCACAGCCTCTGCTGAGGGACTGCACAGGAATTCCACAGAGCTTCAAACACACCACAGAGCCCAGAACACGCCAGCTTCTCCCTTCTCCCACTCAGCACCCCCAGGTTACCCTGGGCCACCCCCAGAGCATCTGCCCTGCCGTCAGTCACAGCTTCCCTCGCTCCAGACTTCTCCCACTACAAGGGATTCCTTACACAAAGGGCATTTTCTCCAGCTTTCAAATCACCAACCAGCTGTGCTTCAGCCAGCCTGGTCCTACCAAGACTCCACCACTTCCCTGCCTGGGAGGGGCCCAGAAGCACCCAGGAGGAGCTGCTGGAGTCCCAGCGAGGACAGAGGTGCCAGGAATTGCCTTGAACTGTTCAAGGCCAGGTGGGATGGGACTTGGAGCAGCCTGACCTCGTGCAAGGTGTCCCTGCCCATGACAGGGAGTGGAATGAGATGAGTTTTAAGCTCCCTTTCCAACCAAACCACTCTGTGATTCTGTGATGATTAATTTTGTGGGTGACCCCGCATTCAGTGAGTAAGGAGCAGGAATTAAGGCCAAGGCAACAGGAGAGTTTGGACTCAGATTGCCTGAGCAGCAACAGAGTCGTTCTGAGACTTGAAACGATGAGCTTTCTATTTAACAGTCACTAGGTAAACCCAGTGAGAAACTGGATTAAAGATCACAAGGACTTTGATCCCAGATTACTAAGCATCGCTACCCTGAATGCTTTAATTAAAGGAAAATGAAGTGCTTGTAGTTGTGTTTTCTTTGCTAGATAAACAGGACTTGCCTGCTGGGAGCCCATCACCAGCAAGACCTGAGCTCTGCCAGCCTTTCCTGGAAGGAGGGAGCAGGAAATGCAGCCTTGGAAGCCGTGGAAGCAGCTGGCTCAAAGCACCGGCCTTGCTTCGGCCCCTTTCTGACATTCAGCCTGTCCCAGAGACATTTGTGTTTGCTCAGCCATGGGAAATTAAATAAACAGTTTGCCACGCAGGTAATGGAACTTCTTCCTGCCTGGGGGTTGCATCACCTGGAGGAGGTGCAGCAGGTTTGAGCCGGGGTACCCACAGCTCCCACGAGGAGGAGGAGGAGGAGGAGGCATCAGTCACTACATTCAGGAATCTCTGAGTCAGGGACACGCAAACCTACACCCATTGCACATTGCCTAACTTGTGTTTACTTTGTATGAGAAACCGAGGTGGGGATCAGGGAGATCAGGGGACTCCTGCAGGCACGGAGCCCTGCGGGGAACGTCCCAGACCAGGGCTGGGGCTGCGGGGGCTGCGGGGGCAGGACGTGCTGGGAGTGGGTCTGCCTACAGCACAGCTGGTCCCCGGGCTGCTGGCCCCTGGGCTGCTGGCCCCAGTATCCGGGCTGTTGTCTCCAATATCGGGGCTGCTGTCCCCCCGGGCTGCTGGTCCCAATATCCGGGCTGCTGTCCCCCTTGGACTTCTGGTCCCCCTTGGACTGCTGTCCCCAATATCCGGGCTACTGTCCCTTGGGCTGCTGTCCCCTGGGCTGCTGGCCCCAATATCCGGGCTGCTGTCCCCCTGGGCTGCTGTCTCCCTTGGACTTCTGGTCCCCCTTGGACTGCTGTCCCCAATATCCGGGCTGCTGTCCCCTGGGCTGCTGTCCCCCCTGGGCTGCTGTCCCCCCTGGGCTGCTGTCCCCAATATCCGGGCTGCTGTCCCCCCTGGGCTGCTGTCCCTTGGGCTGCTGTCCCCTGGGCTGCTGTCCCCCCTGGGCTGCTGTCCCTTGGGCTGCTGTCCCCCCTGCCAAGGCAGCCCCCCGGCCGCGGTGTCCCCCTGTCCCACTGCCACCGCACCCTCACGGAGCCCAGCTGCGGGCAGAAACGCCGGGAGTATGCTCGGAGCGATTCAGCTGCTCCTAGGCTCGGCTTTCAGGATTCCCGGCTCTTCCCCGGCACTCCGACCCACACCTGAGCAGAAAGCTCTTGTACTGCCACTGCAGAACCGCAGCCACGGAAATCAGGCTCCTAATAAGCAGACACAGCAACTTCTTTTCTTTCTTCTAATCCAAACCACATCAGAGAGAAGCTTGAATCCTCCTCAGATTTACGACAGTTAGAAATCAGCAATTTTCCTCCTAGGTTGCAGAGTTGCACGAAACTCCCTGTCACATTTTCATTTTATCTTGGTTTCAGCAGCTTGGCCTTTGGGGTGTAACCACCTCGCAGTTGCTTTCACAGACAATACTTCACCCTGCACAGCTCAGCAGCCAGCACTTCTATTTTTTTTCATCTTGGAAGAGTTTGTTGGGCTCTTACAGCCACCAAACTTCATCCACCAACTGCTATCTTCTATCTACCTGGCTCCATTACTATTAATTTGGCTCCCTCCTACATGAGCCTCCAGGGCACCGTATTGCAATTAAAACCACAAAGAAACACAAATAAATCCCGAGGAATATGCAACCCTCAGCTCCCTCCTCGCTCACGGCCCGGCGAGAAACAGGTTTATGAGTAAATAACTCCGACCTGGGAAGGCGCAGATCAAACATGGCGTGGGAAAGCGCGACGGGAAGCAATAAAACCGATTTTCATCCACCCATCGGCCTCTTTGAGCCGAGTTTAACTCGGCGGGAGCGGCAGCCGGCCCAGCCGAGGCGCGGAGCCCCCCGCCCGCTCGGGGCGCAGCTCTGGGAGCGGCGCTGCCGCATCCCGGTGCCCCCGAGCGCTCCCGGGGCTCCCCCGGTGCCCTCCCGGTGCCCCCCCGGCCCCACCGAGCCCTTCTGCCCCGGGACGGCCCGTCCGAGCCCGCACGGCTGGGGGACACGGGGACACTGACCGGTGCCACCCGCGCTGTCCGAGGTCACCTCCTGCGTGAAGATCCAGGGCGGGTTGGTGGCGAAAAGCGACGCGGCGCTGGGGCTGGAGTGGCGCTTGCCGAAGAGGCGGCTGAAGGTGCCCTGCACCGAGTGCGGCTGGTGCTTCTTCATGCTGGCCGAGCCGAGCCGAGCCGCGCCGGGCATCCCGCGGCAGCGGCGGGGACGGGGCCGAGCGGCTCCGGAGGGCGGGGACGGCCCCACCCCGGGCCCGCCCTCCGCCAGGTGCCCCCGCTCCGGGAGCACCGAGCCGGGAGCCCGGGCTGCGACAGCCGCGGGGACCGTCCTGTGCCACTGCTGGTGCCCAGGGCTGCTGACCCCGCGGGGACCGTCCCGGGGTGGCTGCTGACCCCGCAGGGACATTCCTGGGATGACTGCTGGCCCCGCAGGGACCATCCCGGTGTCACTGCTGACCCTGCGGTGACCATCCCGGTGTCGCTGCTGGCCCCAGGGCTGCTGACCCAGCTGGGACCATCCCGTGCCCAGGGCTGCTGACCCCGCGGGGATATTCCCGGTGTCACTGCTGACCCTGCGGTGACCGTCCCGGTGTCACTGCTGGCCCCAGGGCTGCTGGCCCCACAGGGACCATCCTGGTGTCACTGCTGACCCTGCAATGACCATCCCGGTGCCACTGCTGGTCCCCAGGGCTGCTGACCCCGCGGGGATATTCCCGGTGTCACTGCTGGCCCCAGGGCTGCTGACCCAGGTGGGACAGTCCCGGTGTCACTGCTGGCCCCAGGGCTGCTGACCCCGCGGGGACCGTCCTGGTGTCACTGCTGACCCCAGGGCTGCTGGCCCCGCAGGGACCATCCTGGTGTCGCTGCTGACCCAGCTGGGACCATCCTGGTGTCACTGCTGACCCCAGGGCTGCTGGCCCAGCTGGGACCATCCTGGTGTCACTGCTGACCCCAGGGCTGCTGGCCCCGCAGGGACCATCCCGGTGTCACTGCTGACCCCAGGGCTGCTGGCCCAGCTGGGACAGTCCCGGTGTCACTGCTGGCCCCAGAGCTGCTGGCCCCCACGGCCACCCAGCCCCGTGCCCGGCTGCTCTGTCCGAGCGCTCCCTGAGCTCCGCAGAGCCTGCTCCCGTGCCCAGCCACCCTGAGGCTGAGGAGCCTTTCCCCCATCACCAGTTCCAAAGCTCCCTGAGTCAGCCGCCGTTCCCTCTGCCCTTCCTCTCCCTCCCGTGTTTCTCCGTCCCTCCACCAAGCCCTGCAAGGCCGGGAGCTCCCGGTGAGCCCGGGCTGCTCCGGGGCTCGGGGTGCTTTTCACGCACAGCCTTGAGGGCGATGGGATTGACCCCAAAGCATTTCTGGTTTCGGGTACAAAAGCAAATTTCTAGCACTGGTAGCGATTTTTTGTGCCCTGCAAGTAAAAATTGAGAGTTAATGAGTAACATTAGCTACTAATAAATGCAGGGAATTCTGGAGAACTTTAAACCCAAAATAGTTGTCAAAACATTAACTTTGAAACACAGCTTCCAACTTCAGGTTAAGACCTTACACCTCTTTCTATCTCTGCCAAGTTGTGAGAGTCAAAACCATATAGATTTCTTTTTTTCAGTGATAAATATCACTTATTTACTCACTTTTAAATGATGCTTTTCTTGTGAAAATCATCTTCTTTTTACTTTAAAGAACAAATTAAAGCAACCCATAAAATCCCCCATGAAGAATGAAAAATGAGTGCTGTTATGATATTCCAGAAGAGAAACCTAACAGTGGCACAGATACCAGGCAGCACTCAAATAAAGTGAATTACGAATGGGAAACGGGGTAGGAAAAGGAGAATTAAAACGTTAAAATTCAATTGCGCGGCTGCGGCGGAGCAGCTGGAGCTCTTCAAAGGCTGCTCCGGGGATTTCACGGGGCCCTCCCCAGGCCGGCTCTGTGCCCTGCACCAGCCCCGCAATTACTGCCACTGTCCCGACAGTGTCCCGACAGTTATCCTGAGTGCTGCCCCACAGACGGAAACGCCGCTGCAGACAGACGGACAGACGGACAGACAGCCGCCCTGGCGCTCGGGCTGCAGCGGGCTGGGGGAGAAGGGATTGTCCTGCCTGGGGAAGAGAGGGGATGGGATGGGAACTGGGAAACAGCAGCGCTGCAGCCGGCTGCGGGTGGGAAACCGTGCTGCTGAGCTTGGGGCAGGGTCACAGAAACACAGAAACACAGAATCATAAAATCACAGGGTCACAGGGTCACAGAAATACAGGGTCACAGAAATACAGAATCACAGAATCACAGAAATACAGAGTCACAGAATCATAAAATCACAGGGTTACAGGGTCACAGAATCATAGAATCACAAAATCACAGAAATACAGAGTCACAGAATCACAGAAACACAGAATCATAAAATCACAGGGTTCCAGGGTCACAGAAATACAGGGTCACAGAATCACAGAGTCACAGAATCACAGAAACACAGAATCATAAAATCACAGGGTCACAGAGTCACAGAATCACAGAAATACAGAATCACAGAAACACAGGATCACAGAATCACAGGGTTACAGGGTCACAGAATCATAGAATCACAAAATCACAGAAATACAGAATCGCAGGGTCACAGAAACAAAGGCAAACACTAAAACAGCTCACAACCAACAGCAGCCGTAATGCAGACTCATAACTGACTCTTCTGTGTTGTCTGTGGGGGATAAAACAGCAGAGATTGTAGTGAGCAACAGAATCTTCAACAAAATCAAGGGTGAACACTCTGAATTCTTTATCCACACACAGGTGTTTATAAGTGTTTCATCACAGCTGTTTTAGCTGGGGTAGTTTTATCTCTTAAAAGAAAACAGCTATGTATCTTACAATGTAGAAAAGTAATATTAAACTGTCTTAGGTTGCAATGCAAGAGTAACCAGATGTGTGTCTTCTGTCACCAGCTGTTAAACCAGGTGGGGGAGTGTTCTTTATCTCTCCCACAGCCAATCCTCCCTCCAGGAGATCTCTTCTGTTCATGGGCCATTAATTATTAATTATCTTCTGTCCATGGCCAGTGAGTGTCCCTGCATGGCTGATCAAATTCCATCATCCATGGGGAGATGCTCCGCCCAGGGGAGGAGCCAAGCATTCCTGCCTGGATACAATCTGAGGTTTGGGATGCCCCAGCAGCATTTGCCCCCTGCATTCCCAGAGGAGCAGCTTTCTCCTGCCCTGCATTCGCAGAGGAGCAGCTTTCTCCTGCCCTGCATTCCCAGAGGAGCAGCTTTCTCCTGCCCTGCATTCCCTTGGGAGCAGCTTTCTCCTGCCCTGCATTCCCAGAGGAGCCCCTGCATTCCCAGAGGAGCAGCTTTCTCCTGCCCTGCATTCCCTTGGGAGCAGCTTTCTCCTGCCCTGCATTCCCAGAGGAGCAGCTTTCTCCTGCCCTGCATTCCCAGAGGAGCAGCTTTCTCCTGCCCTGCATTCCCAGAGGAGCAGCTTTCTCCTGCTCTGCATTCCCAGAGGAACGTCAGGCCCATCTCCAGCAGCCCTGGAGCTCCAGAGGAAAACTCCAGCCTTGTGCAGGATCCCTGCTCCAGCAGAAGCACAGCTGGCACTGTGTGGAAATCCCCAGCTGGAATCTTCATTCAGGACCTCTGTGGTCTCAGTGCTATTGGAAACTCTCTGGCTGTAAATTCTGGTGGTGTTCTGGTGTCAGGAGCTGATAATGGCACTGTGCACCCTTGGGACTGGGACTGGGTGTGATTTCCAGGGGGTAGATGCAGCTCTACAGCCAGGTTCTTTGGACAGTGAATCAGGAGTGTTTGCTTGTGGTTTTGACCAGTCAGAAAGCAGATTGCTAATGGCTGAAGCTGATAAAACCAAAAAAGTATACAAAGAAGATGATCCTGCTCCTCAAGAAACCCATGCTGTCAGCTGGAGACCAGAAATTATCAAGAGAAAGTGATTTTAGTGCAGGAACATACTTCTGTAGTTTTGTTTTGGCTTTCCTGAGAGCATTCAGTCACTTTTTGTTCTGCCTAGGATAGCAGAGCAAGAAGTCAGCTAAGCTAAGTCATAGAATAAATTTTATTTCTCTTTAGGGGAAAAAAAAAAAAAAAAAAAAAAAAAAAAAAAAAAGGAAGAGAGAACAGAGCTGCAGCAGCCAAGCCAATAAAATCCTGTGGAATGGGAGAGCCCGGGCTGTGCACAAAGGTGTCCCACAAATCTCATTACAGCAAGGAGACTTCAAAGGGGCTGTGGGGCAGCAGCAGCAGGGGTGACTCAGCTCCTGCCACCGCTGGGGTGCTCCTGAGCCCCGGGGCTGGGGGTGCCCCAGCCCGGCTCCTGCCTCACCCTCGTGGGTGCTGAGCACGGGAAAACATCCCCCTCAGTGCACGGAGGGCTCTCGAGGTGAATTTAGCATCCCACAGACAGCAGCTGCTGAGCAGCCCTGCCAGGGCTCCTGTGCACCTTCCCCTTCGTGTGCTCCGGGTGGAAGAGGTTTGTTTTTCACCTTCCACCTCCCAGCCCTCCCCTGGGAAGGGCAGGAGAAGCTCAGGGGCAGCACGAGCAGCAGGATGGGCATGGTGGATTTCCGTGAAGAGCAAACTGCAGAGACATGGGGAACCTGCCAGGCTGGGTGCCTGGGCCGTGTTTTTGAGGAAGGACAACTGTCACCCCAGCGTGACTGAGGCCACACAGCAAGAGGGACTGGTGGGCTGGGCTGGGCACAGAGCTCAGGAAAGCACTTGGAAGATCCCCAGCAGGTTTTCTGGCATAGAAAGAGCCGTGTGAGCACTGCTGTGATGTAACACACCGCAGCGTGAGGCTGCCTTTGATCCCAGCACGGGTAAACACCCCAGAACAATCTGCTTTCACATCAGGGTGAGGAGCTGCACCCTCAGCTGGGGATGGTTCACTGGCAGCTGGGAGAGGGGTTTGTGCAGCTCAGGCTGGGCCTGGAGGAGGAAGGGATGGAGCAGAAACCCTCAGGTGTGCCTGCAGGCCAGCACACAGCTCAGAGCAGCTGCCAGTGGGGCAGGGGGCACGCTGCAGCTGGGGTGGCAGGGCAGCAGTGTCCTGCAGAGCCTGCCCCAGCTGCACTGCTGCCCGCCAGGGCTGGCAATCCTGCCCCCATGGCCCAGCCCTGCACTGCTCTGCACCCCCTGTGACATCCAG